CGAATCTGTAAAAGCACTTTTGTCTCAAAACTCTATCCTTCAGATCCTGTTTGCCTCTTGCTTTGCTAATACTCTGTAGGCCTCGAATAGGAAAATTCCTTTTGACTTTAGACAACAGTCATATCTGGAAATAAAACACAGAACTAAGTCAGCATGTGCGAGTTACAGATGTCAACTCAGTTGGATTGATACAGGCACCTATTGCTTTAGTGTTTCCGTGGGTTAGCCATAGTTCAAACCAATTGCTTGAGTAGATCATTTATATAATGCCACCTCTGATCTACCTATAAAAAGTTTCAGGTAGATGGCGTGAGTTAACGTCAAAGTCATCCTTGTGCCACCCCGCTAAATACTTCCAATTTCATAAAAATTAGTTACGAGAGGGATTTTTAATGGATGTATGGTTAGAATAGAAACTTTTGGTCAAGTCAGATCCATTTAAACTTCGATGAAACGCATTTGGTGATATTTTCATCAAATTGTTAGAAAAAAAAACTAGATCTTCATGATGCTAGGGAGTGCTTTGGATCTTTCATATTATCTGAGTACTTTCTAAAAATAAATGAGATATTTTTAATCTGCACACTTGGTGCTATTGAATTGTAAAGACTCGTGATTGGAAAGCCAGAAAATTTTTTTTCGATACCTGAGGTGGACCCCAAGTATCAAAACTTGAGTTGCGATCATGTGGAATACAGAATTATGAAGAATATTCAGAGTTCGATGCTGACTTCCAAAGTCATAAAATCAGATTTAAACTTTTTGGGGCCTCCGATCCGTAAGTCGACGCAACTTTTGACGTATTAGAGTGTGATTAATGTGTGATAATAAACTAATAAATGAATAACCATCAACTGCATGCTTTACTTTATCTTATTTTACTATATCTTGCTTGCTTGATAAAGTTAGAGATACTTCACTTCACTTTACTTTACTTTACTTTACTTTACTTTATCGTTAAAGTAAAGTAGATTAACTTTACTTTACCGGGTAAACTAAAGCCAAATGCTTTACTTTACTTTACTTTAATAAAGTGAAATAAAGATAAAGCGCCACCCCTAATACAGATCAAAGTCTTACAGCCTAATGCTCTTATACCGCACATATTTTTATAGTCCATGTAGCCTTTATATACCTTGTGCCTCTTGTAGCCTTATCCGTTTATTGTCTTACACCCTTCAGGGCCTATGGGTACCCTATAGAGCTCCCTCATATAATAGTCTTTAAGGGCCAATAGATACCTTCTTAGGATAGCCCTCGAGAATTTATGGATACCTCTGTAGGATAGTCCATAGGGACCTATGGGCGCCTCCATATAATAGCCCATGAGGATCTTTGGTATTGTAGCTCTTGACCCCTTCCCCTTATAGCATTATAGGACCATTAACCCTTGACCATTAGCTTTTAACCTTCAATCCGGCACAGACAGACACTGAACATTAAATATATAGATTTCCTTGGATTTCCTTGGATTTCCTTGGATTCCCTTGAATTCCCTTGGATTCCCTCAGATTCCCTCGGATTCCCTCGGATTCCTTTGGATTCCCTTGGATTCCCGTGGATTCCCTCGGATTCCTTTGGATTCCCATGGATTCCCTCGGATTCCCTAAAATTCCACTGAATTCCATTGAATTCCAAGATTCCAGGATTCCGCTATTCACCCCTTGGGTGGGCGGGTGTGGGTGCGTGGGTATGGGTGTGGATGGGGTGTGGGTGGGTGTTGGTGTGGGTGTGAGTGGGATGTGGGTGTGAGTGGGTGTGTGGGTGTAGGTGTGGGTGTGGGTGTGTGGTGAGATGTGGGTGTGTGGGTGTGGGTGTGGGTGTGGGTGTGGATGGTCTGGGTGTGGGTGTGGGTGTGTGGGTATGGGTGTGGGTGTGAGTGTAGTATTTTCTTCACTGACGCCCACACCCACCCATATTCACACTCACCATGTGTGTTTAGGTGTGGTTGCTGTTATGTCGATGGTTCAGTAGAACACCTTTTAAACATTCACACTCAAATCCACTCCAATTCCTGCGAATACAGCAATACCCCATAAATTCGAAAATGCATACTCATACATTCATTCACCCATCTACATCATACAGCCACAGCGACACTCATCCATCTGTGATCTATCATTTTGATTTTCTCTATCCACTTATACTCCTACATTGTCGCTAGATAAGATGGTAGGAATCAAGTGTTACTCTTTAGCATTCGTACTCGCAGATATGTTTTATTGCCATTATATGCGTTGTAAAGAAGAAGAGTAGCAGTTTTGCGTACCTAGTAACAAACATATTGAAGCAATAAAGTCTTTATCGAATAAATTATTTCGTTTATCAGTAAACTTTATATAAAGACGCGTTTGGAAATTGCATATTCCTTCAATTACTATTTTGTTTTGAAAGAATGCTATCAATATTCTTCTTCACTACGTTTTTCGTATGCTTGTCAAGCACTTTACCATTGAATGATTTTTTCCCATATGGGGCTCAGGTAGGCGATTCGATTATACCACCAAACGACGATGGAAGTGAAGGACCTTTTACTCTACCTCATATACTTCCCTACTTTGACAACAATCACCGTCAAATTTGGGTGGCCAATAATGGCCTTTTCTCGTTTCTCTCAGCAGTTTCTACATTTGTACCGGATCCTTTCCCACTAGCAAACGATCAACGTTTCATAACTGGTTTCTGGTCAGACATCGATACGCAGGGTGTAGTCGATGGTATTGGTAACCGGGTTTATTATCATATTTACAGCGATACATCTCAATCAAACACTACATCGTTAGTGTTTGCGAAAGCAAGTGATTATGTGCGAAGATTTTTTCCTCAACAGCGTCTGTTCGAACCAACAATGGTTATCACAGGCACTTGGTATCGTGTAGGAGCTTTCAGTAGTAAAACAGATCGATTAAATACATTTCAAATCGTATTAGCCACTGATAGTGATCGAAGTTTTGTTTTTCTACTTTATCACGATTTGCAATGGGCGGGACCGGGATATACCACGGAACCATACGCTCAAGCAGGTTTCAATGCTGGTGATGGTATTGCTTTCGAGATGCTTCCGTATTCGCGTACCAAGGACATAGTGCGTCTGGTGAATGAAAGCAATGTTAACGTACCTGGTCTATTTGTTTTCCGTGTAGACACAGACGAAATTGATGCTGGTGGCTGTAGCAGTAATGTATCTGTTGTTACTCTGCGTCCGCGCATCAGCTCACAGCTAGGATCTACAGCACTGAATATTCAAGGACCATGCTTCAGCAATTCGACCATACTTAAATGTCGATTTGGTTCATTAGCGGAAATCGTCGACGGCATCGTAGTTGACACATTTCGAGCCATATGTTTGACACCCCTTGCTCCTGTACATGGACCAGTACTAGTGAGTTTATCGATTGACAACGGTGTTTCATATATGCCAGTTAGTGTTTTTACATATGCTCAAATGCAATTTGGTTCCGACGATGTCATCATTGGCACAGACAATCGAGACAATGTACTCAATGCTTTACAATATATCAATCTTACATGGCGTTTTCCGGAATCTTCACGAGATACGTTTCCCAATGGGACTACCATTGAAATAGAACTAGTCGAAGTAAGCCTTAGCAACGGCTCACAATTACAACAGAAGAACTCGCCTATGATACTTGCTCGAGGCTTGACTCCTGGTGTTACTTCATCTCGTCTTCTTTTACCAGAAAGTATTACCTTTATTACAGCATGTTTTATCCGTGTTGTAGCTCGTTTTGAAGCCAAAGCATATGCTGGGCTGAATACAGGCATACTAACTGTACGTAGTCAGGAGTCATTTGCATCTGAATCCTGCGTCGAATGGTCTCGCCAGCAGCCTGAACCATCCACATGGAATGGTGGCATTCTCCCTTGTCCAATGACACGCACACAAGCAGTTGCTGCTGGTCGTTGTTGTTATGAATCTGACGGCCAATGTTACCGAAATAATCCTAATTCCAACAATTGTTGGCTTCATCAAGCTCGTCCTGGACATAATGAAAACTCAGCTGTTGAATGCTATGTATCGAAAAGCTCAAATATTCATGGTGCTGGAACAGAATGTTGTTATGATTTTGAAGGACAATTAATTACGCGCGGCACTGGAGCAGGCACAGACGATCGATATCGACCGGCCGTATTACCAGTGCAACATTTTTTTGAAGATACATTACCATATCTACAATGTTGTATGATTAGTACCAATGTTGAAATGTGTAATACATACATGTACTATCGACCACCACGCCGAGGCAGTAATACAATGGGTCAAAGTGGTGGAACATGGGGTGATCCTCATTTCATTACACTAGATGGAACATCTTACACATTCAACGGTTATGGAGAATATACCTATTTGGCCATTAGTACACTCTAAAAAATTTCCGTATCCTAGGAAACCCAAAGGGGTTCGGAAACCTACTCGGAAACCCTTTTCCGTTTCCGAGTGGGTTTCCAAAGTTTGGAAGCGTTTCTGAAAATACCCTTTGGGTTTCCGAACGTTCGGAAACTCAAGGGTTTCCGACAATACCCAACTGAACACTCTAAAAGTATTCTAGAATACCTTTTTCTTGCTTTCGGAAACCCAATAGGTTTCTCGAAAATCGGAAAGGTATTGTCGAAAACCCATATTAGTAGTAAAGCTGGATTGATACCCGAAAGGGTATGCGAAAATACCTTTTCATTTCCTAAATGGTTTCCGCAAATACCCAATGTGAAAAAGGGTATCATAGGATACCGAGATGGGTTTGCAAAAATACCCAGTCTGAAAAAGGGTATCATAGAATACCGAGTTGGGTTGGCGAAAATACCCAATTTAAAAAAAGAATCATTGGAAATCAGAATAGGTTTGCGAATTTTGTGTTAACCCTTAAAAGAGTTCCTAAGGTTTTCAACTTTTCTGATACCTTCATCAATTTTCTGATTGACATCTCAAAAACTTCGCAAAAGGATAGATGTGGATTTCAACTTTATTTTTTTCATATTCTTTCTCATGCTCAGCTTTGAACATTTTTATGAAACAGCAAGACACCGATCTAATTAATAATTGCGTATTGAATTATTTAAAATTGTTCCTGTGTAAACAGTTCCATGAAATGTGAAGCCAGATCATGCTTCATAAATAGTGGAATGTTATTTGTGCGTTTTACTGTTGATCTTATTCTTCGGAATATAAAAGAGAATACAATATTAACAAATCGGGAACAAAATAAATAAATTAGACAATTACCATTTGTCTTTTTTCTTCCTTTTTTGGTTGAGTTTCGCTAAAGTAAGAATTATATTGTACCTATCGTGGATGTCAAAAATTACAGGAGGAATGAATTGCAGAAACTTCTATTCTTAAGTGAAAATTACAGTTGGTTTATTCCTAAAGATTATAGGCTTTTAAAACAAACAGAAAACTGCAACTTAAGTCCACATGTTAACAAATTAATGTCATTTATAAGACATATGAACAATATGTTTTCATATAACTTTCACAAGAACATAAATCATAGATCTGATACTTTTGTCTTGTCTTCAGTCACTTTCTAGCTTTGTTCTATAATCGAATAAAAAGAAGGGTTCAATGTGTAAAGTACAAATCAATGCAATTTCTCTTATGTTTAATTATGATTCGCTTTAACTTCATTAGGTTGTGTCGTACTAATTTTGAGATTGGTGGAAGGCAACCGATAGACGAAGTAAAATAAGGAAAACAATGGTTATTTCATATTTTCTAATAGTAATAAAATATTATATTGAAAAAACACTAATTTCTAAATGTAGAGAAGAGCGTTAATCATGTTACAATCTTGTTTATAATTTCTCCGTTAGAGAATAGTTTATTAGAAGTTTTACTAAAATTTTACGTTTTGGAAGGGAGACGAAATTGCTTATATTTACATTGCATTCATCGGAGACTTAGCTCAAGAACAACTTTTATTTTTACTGTCAGTATAAGAGAAATTTAGCTACAGGTTGACCATTCAAGCGTGCTTTTTATATTTGTTCTAAATTTTATTTAACAAAAGGCTTTGGGACGTCTCTTTTATTACGGAATTTGATGCTATTATTATATATGAATATAAAGATGCCTTAATACTAGAAGAAAGAATAGTTAGAATACTTTTTTAGAGATGAATTTTAGTAGTTTACTCACGTGGGATACAATGAGCATATTTCACACTACATATTCAACGAATGGTTGCTTATTTTCTAAGCCTTTTCGATTTGAATGATATTAGGGTCCTCTACTATCGAACAAAACATCAGAATAGCTATGCAAGCTGATCCTTTTATTTCTGATTGCATATCTATCGAATAACGTCTCTATAATGAGTAGAAAACGCTTCACTAACGGTACTTTTCCCTACAAGCACGATCAAAAGCAAAGATTTTCTTATATAGAAGCATTTTCATTTGAGCAAAATACTGATGAAACATATTATATTGATCAAAAGCTTCTATATTAATTCATCCGCTTTATCAATCAACTCTATCTGAGTAGCCGTCCCATTCTCTTCGATTTCAATAATCTAAGATCATATTAATGATCAACTCGAAAATCTGCTTCACTTTAGGAAATATCGTACCTTCATTTCATACCTCGTTCGAAAGCTTACTATTCTTATGATTTCGGTCGTAAATTCATCTCGATGAATTCTATAATTCATTCGATGTTACATGAAATGTTTTTTTTCCTTACATATCTAATCATCTCAACAGGTAGATGAGTTATTTTAAATGATTTCATAAAATATTTCTAACTTATCATTTACACTTTTCAATACTACATTTTCTCTATCTATTCAGGTGTTTATTTAATTTCATGAATACAACACTTTCCTAATTTTTCTTTTTCTATCATAACATGGCTCTGGAATTCGGTGAGTTCTA